AAAAGATAGAAATACATTAAAAAATAATACAAAAATGTGAAAGGGCTAACATTACTGAATAATAAGATTCATAAAGTCCTGTAATAAACATAGTATGGTATTTACCACAGTATTTCATCAAGAAGTGTCTTTTTAACAAATGTGCTGGTAAAAACTGAATGCCCTCAAGTAAAAGAATGAAGGTGGACTACTCTCTAACTCCATGTGCAAAAATAAGTTCAAAATGGATTAAAGATTGAGATATAGGAGCCACACAATAAAACAAAGGAAATATTGACAAGACAATCGATGGCATCAATAACACAGATGTCTGTGGAGACCCCCGCCCTATGACAAGGGGAAAAAAACAAAAACACAAGTCAGATTGTTTCCAATCAAAAAGCTTTTACGCACCAAAAGGAATGTAAATGGATGAAAAAAAATACCCACTGAATAGAGAAAGTAGTCACACACTATACACCGGAGAAGGGGTTAATATCCAAGACATGGAAAAAAATTATTCAACCAAACAACTCAGTTGATAGACGGGCAGCAGAACTGAATAGACAATTCATTGAAGAGGATTACCAGAAAGCCAACAGACACGTGAATAATAGTGATTATAGTTTCTAATAAGGGAGATGCAGTCAAAGCCATAAAGATGTATCACCTCACAACACAGAATGACACATATTGGGAAGATGCTCAACAACTGCTGAGCATAGACAGGTAAAGAAACCCTGTTTCACTGCTGGAGGGGTGTAAGTTGGTACAACCATTTTGAAAAGTGACCTATATTTACATTGAAAAACTAAAAATTCAAATAGCACATGACCAGTTACCCCTCTCTTGGGCATCTATCCAAAGAACTTGGAGCCACCCACTCAAAATATAATAAGCTCCATAATATGTATTGCAGTATTATTTACAATAGCTAGGACATGGAAACAGTCTCAACTGGACTGGGCTAAGAAAATGTGGTATATCCACATGAGAACATATATTTCAGCCATGAGGGAAGATAAAATGTGGTCAATGAGAAAAAAAATGAAAGTATGTTTTGAAGATTTATTTATTTATGCATACAGAACTGGGGTACAGGCCAGAAGTGTGGGAAGGGGAGAAGATTCACCAGACACAGAGTAGGGAGCATTTTGAGGGAATTATATATAACGAAACAAGTTAGAATAGCAAACACAAATATCGGCTGTTTATAAAGGACAAAATATTAATAAAATCTAACATTCACTAATTAATGAAGTGAAGCTGCTGAGGCTAAGAGGGAGAAAACAATGTTTTGAAAATACCTGAATCAATCAAAACTCTTATTCCTGTATTCTCAAAGATTAAACTGGTGTCTGGAAAATCAAGCAATTATGCATTGCCTGCCTCACCTCAAAGTGCTGGAACTTTGGTGCCGGTGACATCAGGTTTTATTAAAATGTTAAAAAAATAATTTCAAGGTTAGTATGGGCCTTTTAATGTGTTTGTGTTGTTATTTATCATGTAACACAGGTTCCAAGGTTCCTGTCACAGAGGGGAGCTTGTATCCCTGGGCTTAAGGAGAGCTTCCAACTTATTCTATAGTTCTGTGAATCAAATGAGTCAGTCCTCTGTGTTTTTATATATGGGAGAGCTATGGCTGCTTCACAGAAATCACAAGGAAGGCAGGAGAAGCATTTCTTTCACTGCACTCACTGCAGACGCACAGGCAATAGAAACCCTTTTCCTCCAACTTCTGTTATATTGAGTTAATAACCATACATTCCCATGGGTCATCTATAATTCTGCTGCAATTTGAACTTGTATTCTTCCTACTAATTCTATTTTGCAGTAATAACGTTAGGAAAAAGAATGCTTAGAATTTGTGTACTTCAATGCTTTCAAGACTGCATTTTCTTTCTTGTAATGGGAGTTAAGCTAACATAACTAACAGCTATATGGCAGGCATCACCTGGCCAGTGCCTTGCTGGTTTGTTTTGAGTGTGATTATTAGCACCTACATGAAAAAAGAAATCAAATGGAAATGAAGAAGAAATAAAACCCCAGTGTTACCATCTCTGAAGCTACCCTGCAGCAGCTTGGTCACCTCTGTATGATGTGTCTTCAGGAAAGGCCCTTCCCCTCTCCTGTCCTACACAGTGATGGGGCTGGGTAGATGATTTCTGGATTTCTAATGAAGTTGTCTTCCACCCCTCTATCTTGAGCTACACATTCTGAACAGAGGATACTTTGAATTGCTGTTGAAGGATTTCTCCCTCCAAGCTATGAAAAAGTACACAATTTTCTTAGGATGGCAAGATACAAGGGAGAATGTCAAAGATGAAATTATCCTGAGAAAAAGCAGCTAATAAGGTAAAATGGTACCCAAAATAATGGCATTCCCAATGTACAGAATTAAGTTTCAGATCTTACAGGTTGTAAGGAAAAAACTTCTTGCAGAGAATGGACATGGCCCCATACAGAATGCTAGTGGAGGGATGACAGATGGACATGCAGCCGTTTGTGAGGAGGCTGTCATTCACCCTTGAGCTGAGCCCAGTCCTCACTCATGCTCCAAAACAGAACAGAGTAACTCTTGCATTCACATTTGTGACTGTTTGTGCCATCATTTTGTCATTTAGATCTATTCTTATTAAATAGTAACTAAGAATTCTAGTATTAGCAATAGTGATCTAAAGAGTTTTCTTCCACCTGAATTTATTCTTTATTGGTTTTGGTGCAGTGATAAAAAGGAACTTCTTGCCAGGGTTTATATAAAGCTCTTGTTGACACTGTCATGCTTCATGGTGAAAAAACTAATCCTGTTAAGATTAAAAACAAGCCAAAGATGCCTGGTCTCTTAACATCCTATAGCAAATTCTAATCTTAGACAAGTAAATGAAATAAAAAATAGAAAAATAAGGCAGAAATTAAACAGTGTTTCTCTACTCAGATACATTTATCTATGTAGAAAATTATAAAAAAATAACAGAAAATTCTCTTGAATTTTATATAATAAGTGATTTTATATAATAATAAGTGATTATTGTAAGGTTGAAGGATACAAGGTTAATATATAAAATTTAATTTGTTACTGTATTCCAGAAATGAACATTTGGAACTGGGAAAATTAAAACATAACACTATTACATTAGCACCAACTAAAAAATAAGTTGCCTTCACTCTATCAAAATATGTATTTGAGGAAAACCATACAATTTTGAAGAAATTAAATATGATCTAAGTTAATTAGAGAAATGTTTTCTGACCATGGATAAGAAATGTCAATATTATTTCATTTCATCCTCCCTCTTCCCTCAATCTAAAATTCAACATAATTTGTATCAAAATTCTAGCATGTTATTGTCAAGATATTTACAAACTTCTTAGAGTGTTTATATAGAAAGACATAAGACCATTAAAGCTAACTCAACATTGAAAAAGAAAAACAATTTTGGGGCACTGACTTATTCTAACTTTAAGTAATCAAGACAAAGTAATCAAAATAGTGTGGCTTAGGTGAAATAATATATTTACAACAGACGAGAGCCCAGAAATTAACCTACGGCACTATCGCCACTGATCTTTAACAAAGGGGCATAGGCAACTCATTGGAAAAGGACTGAGTGTTTTCAACAAATGGCAGTGAAACTGAACATCACAGGCAAGGAAATGAATTTTGGCAAGGATTTGACATCATTCACAAACATTAAATGAAAGTAGGTAGTAGATCTAAATGTATAACCAAAATCATGAAACTTGTAGAAGACTGAATAAGATTGAAAAAGGGAGTACTTGAATTTGGTGAAGATTTTAAAGATGGAACACCAAAAACAACATCCATGAGAGCTAAGTGGTAAAATGAAGAGATTTATTAAACTGAATTAAATATAAATATCTGCTAGAACTCCCATGGTACCTCAATAATCCAGAAGATAAAGTGAACAATAGCAAAAATTACTGTAAATACCCCAAACCCTCAATATTTATAGTTAAAATATTTGGAGAGAGGCAACATCCTATTTTCAGGCTTCTAAAATTTCTGGCATCACTGTATAAGACACAGATGACTACTATAAATTTTTCCCCTGGGGTCAAATCTACCACATTTTACTATCTGAATGATTTTATAGTTGTGGAAATAATTTATACCAATTTCAAAACATCCAATGAGACTAAAAGTAAATGGAAAAGCATCAGAACCTATCCCATAGTTGATGCAAAAACACAAACATTACCACAGAATAAAATGCCAATTCACAGTCATAAAGAGACAGACAAATGTACAAATGGAAAAGAAGGAAGTCATTCCATGCAAATGGTGTTAAGCTACAGAAGCTTTTATAAACAAAAATACTATATAATGACCATCGGAAAAGAATCAAAATTAATGTTTTAGACTGTCAGTTAAAATTGGTGGTTCTGTTTCCACCTACTCTTTCTTCCAATTTGTCCTTCCTTTATTTTTCTGTACACTGCTGTATTATATATTTACTTGCATACTCCTGATGTAGTCAGTTCTGCATATCTGATACACACAGCCTGTGAATTCACATAAAACCCACTTCCAGGATCTCCTTGGTGGCCTAACAGTTGAGTCTCAGTGCTTTCACCACTATGGCCTGAGTTTGATCCCGGGCCAGGGAGTTGAACCATATGGCGCTGCTCCCCTCAGCAGTGTATTTCAGCATTATCTGCCTGTTCTGCTCCCCACTCTGTCTCTGGTAAATTTTCTCACTGCCCCTGCACCCCAGTACTTCTACACACACACACAAACACACACACAAATATACAAAATAAAAAAAATTAAGAAAACTTAGTAAATTACCACCAAAATGAAAAAAACATCCTACTAAATAGGAGAAGACATTTGCAAATCACATAAACCACAAAGAATTATTATCCAAAATATATAAAGGGCTCATAAAACTTCAAAACAAAGTAATTCACCAAGACTAATAATGGAAAAGAACAAAATGCTACTTTTAAGAAGCAGAAATGAGCCTTAAGAAGAAATCAGCATGCTGCTGCCATGACCTTCAGTGGTTCTGACCCCTACCCTCAGGTGACCCATACCTCTTTGCAATGACTTTTCTCAGCACATTTTTTACATCCTTATTTCTCAAGCTATAGATCAAGGGGTTCAGCATGGGGACCACGGTGGTGTAGAACACAGAGGCCACCTTCTCCTGTGCCATGTTGCTGCTGGAGGAGGGCTTAAAATACATAAACACGATGGAGCCATAAAAGATCCCAACAGCTGTCAGATGGGAGCCACAGGTGCCGAAGGCTTTGGACCTGCCTGCAGCTGAGGGGATTCGAAGAATGTTGGCAATAATGAAGGCATAGGAGATGATGATGGTCCCAGTTGTTGACAGCACATTAAATCCACCCACAAATATCACTAGAAGCTCATTTATATAAGTGCTACAACAGGAGAGTTTGAGAAGAGGAATTATGTCGCAGAAGTAATGGTGGATCACATTGTCCCCACAGAAGGAAATCCTGGTCATAGAGATTGTGTGGGATAAAGCTCCAATTGTACCTATGGTGTAGACCCCAGCCACCAATGCACTGCAAACTTTTTGGGACATGGTGACACTGTAGAGCAGTGGATTGCAGATAGCTACATATCTGTCATAGGCCATTGCAGTCAACATAAAACACTCTCCAATAGCAAAAACACAAAAGAAGAAAAGCTGTGTCATACACCCAGGGTAGGAAATAACATTCTGCTCCAATACAAAGTTTCCCAGGAGTTTGGGGGTAACAACTGTCGAGTAAAAGAGATCGATGAATGACAAATTACCCAGAAAGAAGTACATGGGAGACTGGAGCTTGGCGTTGAAAGTGATTAGGAGGATCATCCCCAGGTTCCCCACTACAGTCACCCCATACATCCCTAGAAACAGGAAGAAGAGGGGCAGCTGGAGTTCTGGCTGGTGTGTTAGTCCTTCTAGGACAAACTCAGTCACAGTAGAGTAATTGCACCCAGTCATTTCTTTCAGGAGACAAGGAGAGTGTAGCTAAAAAGGAAAAATCACAGAAATTAAAAAAAACAAATACTATGTTCCATAACCTGCAATGATTTTATTTTACTGTTTTCACTGAAAAAAAAAATGGTAATGAAGTTGGAATAGCCTCTTAATAATAAACATTTGTATTATAGTTATACTATTCTAAAATTCTGTATAATTATGATCATTAATGTTAGGATTGTGTTGTTTTCAGGATTGTGTACATCTATACAAAATATCATCAAAGATATAGTGATGTAAAAAATAAATATAAAGTGCCTATGAACATTGTCATAGATGGAAATCAAATGAGTCCAAGCTGTAATGACTTCTTTTGTGTCAAAGATTAAATTGCTGCCTGGAACTCATAGACACTTAATTCAGCAATTATGAATTTTCTAAGACAACATTGTATAGAGCTGAGGACATTGAGGTTTAATCAGGGTGCAGAGGGTAGGATTCAGGCTGCTGGCATCTTTGGTATGCAGTGTGCTGTTGTTGAACATGCAACACAGAGCCCTACTTTAGCAGGAAGCAGGCAGTAAGTCGTGTGTTGGAACACGTTGCCAAGCACAAGGACATCTCAGGACCTTGAATGCTCCAAGGAAGCTTGGAAATTTATTCTGAATTCTATAATTCAAATGAGTAAGGACTCATTGATATATTTTACTTCCTAAGAGGATTTTTGAGTGTACTGTGATTGTATAATAGAAACTATTCAGAAGGAGGAGGAAGACAGGAGCATTTCCCTGTTTTTCTACCCACTGCACACCCATAAACACTTCTTCCAATTTCATTTGCATTAGGCTCGTAACAACCAAACTGTAGTTTCAATGAAATATAAATTTGAAATTCATCCTAGCAATTCCATCTGAAATGAATGCTTTAGGCAAAGGACATACAGAATGTGGGTACCTGAGTGCACCCAAGAGCTGGTGCTGTCTTCCCTGTCTTGTGGATGGATTCATACTGTCAGCTACATGACAGACACTACTGCTCTTGCTGACCAAGTGTAGAGTGTGTTGTACGAGCACCAAGTATAAGATAAATCAGATGTCAGTTCTAGGAAAGGAAGAAGAAATCAAGCCCACTCTTACCAACTCTAAGGTCAAGTTCCTTTTCCAGCAGTGTCACCCATTCACACTGTGACTTAGGGAAAGGTGCTCCACCTCTGCTTGCCTACAGGAGGATGGGGTGGGGGGTGACCACTCACACCTGTGATAGCTCTAAGTTGTAATGATGCTGAGTGAGCAACTGTGAGATTCCCTTTCATCCCTATTTCCTGAGCTGCCCTTTTCAAGCAAGGGAATACTTTGAGTTGTTATTCACAGACTTTGACCTCCAAGGAGATGAATGAGTGCAGTATTCTCCAAGGATCAAATATCTCAAGGGAAATTCTCAGAGGTGAAATGCTCCCAAGAAGATAAAAGCAATTAAGACATTATATTGGCATACAGAATCATGGTAGACACAAAGTATGTACATTTCCAACATACAGAATTATGACTGATCTTACTTCTTAGAAGGAGAAACCCTTCTTGCAAAATTGTAATCACACATGCAGTTCTCCTGCATCAGTGAGCAAAAACCTAGCCTTGCTATTCTGTGCTCCAAAAACAAAGCACTAGAGTGTTGCTTTTACAATTTTACCTCTTTTGTGCTATCATTTTTAAAAAGTGATTATTTTTAACTGAGGTAACCCTTGGTATCCCCACCAGGTATTACCAATGGAACTCTGTGATCACTGGCCATTAGACCTCTCTCTCCCTCCCTGTTCTTTTTGCTGATGTAGTGATTTATATTGATTGATTTTCAGATGTTAAAGCATACTTGTGTCCCCGGTATGAAGACCACATTTTTATGGTGTATTATCCTTGCAATGCATTGTTGAATTCAATTTGCTACGATTTTATTTTTGTATTTGTGTTCATTAGTGAGCTTGATTTGTAATTTTCTTCTTTTGCATTGGCATTTTTTGATCTTGGTATTAGAGTAATGTTGGCTTCATAAAAGGAGATTTTTCTTTTTTTTTTTCTTTTTTTTTTTTTGGTATTTGCAAGTTTGAGTAAGAGAGGCATTAGATCTTTGAAGGTTTAGTAGAATTCACCAATGAAGCTAGTGGATCCTGAACTCTTTTTTTTTTTTTAAGATTTATTTATTTGTGCATACAGAACTGGGGTACAGGCCAGAGGCTCAGGGGCGGCGAGAGGCTTCACCAGAGACAGAGTGGGGAGAACACGTAGATCTACAAAGTACACTGCTGAGGGGAGCAGCGGGCAGGTCAGGAGAGGTCTGCCACATCATGTGGTCACCTCTGGGGCAAGCGGGAATCGAACTCATGCGGAAGTGGCTTTAGCTTCTTAGTGCTGTGCTTTAACCCACTGCACCACCAGGGAGGACTGAATTCTTGTTATTTGAAGAGTTTCAAGTACTGTTTCTTTCTTTGCTTGTAACTGTCTTGTTCAGGGTTTCTGTATTTTCCCTATTTAGTACTGAATGATTGCATAATTCTAAGAATTTGTCCATCTTTTCAAACTTACTGAATTTGTTAGTGTATCGTTCATAGCAGTCTCTCATTATTCTCTGTATTTCAACACATCTGCAGTGATTTCTTCCCTTTTTTAAAAAATTCTATTTGAGATTTCTCCTTTATTTTCTTTGTGAACCATGCTAGAGGTTTGCTTTTTTTCTCAAATAATCAACTTTTGGTTCAATGACTTCTTGGATTGTCTTTTTAAATTCATTTATCCTTTTTTGATTACTATTATCATTATAAAAGGATTCATCAGGATGACATTGAACTTCTCTGAAGAAACATTATAGGCAAGGAGACCATGAAATAATTCATTCAAAATATTTGTAGACAAAATTTGGCAGCTAATAATACTCTACCCTGTAAGCTCTCCTTCAGGTATATGGGAGAAAAAGGCCTTTCCAGGCCTTTTTGTTCTTTTACCATCTATTGGATTGTTTGTTCTTGTTTTCCTAATTCCTCAAGCTGAGAAAGAAGGTTGTTCATTTGAGCTCTTCCTTATTTCTTAATGTGGTCCTATCTGCTATGTAGTTCCGTTTTAGTACTAAATTTTTACATCCCATAAGTTTTAATCACTGTGTACTAATTTTCATTTGTCTTGGAGTATTTTTTAATTTCTTCTTTGAATTTCTCATTAACTCAGTGGGCTTTCAGTAGAGAGTTGTTCACTCTCCATGTACTAAAATTTTTTCCTGCTTTCTTTTGTTAGTTTATTCTAGGTAGATACCTTTACTGTCTGAATAGGCCCTGGGTATGTTTTCAGTCTTCACATAGATATGTATTGCTATCTGTCTGTATCCCAATATGAGTCCATTCTGATGAACGTCCTGTGTGCACTTGAGAAAAATGTGTATTCTTCTCTTTTGGGGTACAATGTCCTCTATATTTTATGAAGTCCAAGAGGTCTAATTGTTCTCTTTAAGGCTATTGTTCCATTGTATATTTTCTAATTGATACACCCATTGGTGAGAGTGAGGTGCTGAAGTCTACTACAAACGTCTTTTGTCCTGTGCTTGTTTTCAGTGTTTATAGTAGTTTCCTGGTGTATTTTGGTGCTTCTACTTTGGGTGCATGAACATTGATGAGTATTATGTCTTCCTAATGTTGCATTCCCTTCAGCATTACATAGCATCCCTCCTTGTCTCTTCTTGCCTTTCTTAACTGGAAATCTATTTTGTCTTGTTTTGAGTCCCATTTGCTTATAGGATAATTTTACAACTCTTATTCTGACTGTTTTTGGAGTTTAAGTGTGTTTCCTGGATACACAAAAAGGTTGGATTCTGCTTTCCAATTCAACTAGATACTCCATGTCTTCTAATTGATGAATTTAGGCCATTTACATTTGGAGTTATTATACATATGTGAAAATATGGTTCTGCCATTCAATCATAATGTTTGTGGTTTAATATACTTTATATGCAGTTCTTTGTATATCTTCCTCTCTTCAGTTTAACTATATGAGCTTCTTTCAATATTTCTTGGAGAGGTGGTCTGGTGTTTGCAAGTGTCTTGATTTTTCTCTATGTCTGAAAAGGCCTTTATTTCTCCCACATACCTGAAGGAGAGCTTTGCAAGGTAGAGTGTTATTGGCTGCCAATTTTTATCTGCAAGTATTGATTGTATCATTTCATTCTCTCCTTGCCTATAATATTTCTTCAGAGAAATCCAATGTCAGTCTGATGGCAATCCTTCTATAGTGTATCTGTTTCTTCCTCCTTGTCAGCTTCAATATTCCTTCTTTTTCTGGAACTCGTACAAGTTCAAGAGCATATCTTGCTGTTGGTCTCATTTTGTTTAGTTACTCATTCTTTTAACTTCTGAATTTGTATATTTATTCTCTCTAGTTTCAGAATGTTTCCTCCATTATTTCTTTAAATCTTTTTATGTTCTCTTTTTCCCAGAGGGGAATTCCATTAATCTAATGCTGACTTTCCTCATGGAGTCAGATAATTCTCAAGAGTTTTTCTTCACTTTCCCCTTTCATTTCCTTCTTTCCTATTCTACCCAGTTTATCTGAACATTTGTCTCTTCCAGTACACTTGCTGGTTCTTCCTTTTACTCTATTTCTATAACTTTGTTCTGAAATTTTCACCTCCTATACTCATCTTTTTTAAAATCCTGAATCTCCATTGTTTTATTATTTTCTATTTTTTTGCATGTTGAATTTATTTTATTTCCAAGAATATTCACTTCTGTTTCAGTGTTTCCTTAGATTCTTCCTTTTCTTTAGGTGTCTTTATTATGGCAATTTCAAACTCTGTATCTGATGAAAGAAACATTTCTCCTATGTCTTTGAAACTGTGTCTATAAAATTATTCTCCCTCTATGTTGCATTATTCCTACAAGGACTGATGTGGCCACTTGCTGGGTTTCTCATTTTCACTATTATTTGCACTGGCAAATATAGATGGGGATTCTGCTGGGCATGGCTTCCTCTCCCCTACTGGGC